CGCCCCCGCCCGCACGAGCCCCGACCGGGGGCGGCGGAGGGGCCGGGTTCGTGGCGCCGCGGCGGGGCGATTTGTTCCGGGCGTGACTCGCCCGTGCAGCGCCTCGTGCAGCCTAACCCGGGGCCGCCACAGCACTTCCGCCGCCTGCGGGGCCCTTCGACCTAGTCCGACTTGCCCGTCACGGCCCTTCGGGTCTCCCCCAGTTACCCTCCTATCGCGACACTGCGGGGGAGAGCACAGCACTAGCTAGCGGAGAGGTGCTGCTCGGGCACAGAGGCAGAGACTTTAAATGACCCCTCGAAAGCCCCAAGTCAGAGCCTCCAGACTGGACATTTTGCCAGAGAAATTTTGGAGCAGGTCAGTGGAAATGAGCAAAGGGTCGAAAAAGATCCCAAATTGCGCTCGTTGACTTGAGCACCATCTGTTTAGCCTTAATAAAGGCAAAGTGAAGGGGTGATTTAAGCCACAGAGTGTAAGCACCCCGAAGGGGAACAAATATTTGATACTAGGCTCTTTAGTGTAACAAGCAAAGGGAAACCAACTATACAACCATTGGCTCTTAAACTTGCCAAATTTGGGGCTGTGCTGCCCTAGAAGCGTTATAGTGGTGCAGCTGCACCAAAGCAGCATTTTTAGTGAATAGGCTCTGTGCGACCAGGAGAGAGCTTTCCCATTGACATCATTACCCCACCTTCTTGAAAAGTAAGTAGCTGTGTTGGTGGGAGGGCACTTCTTGCCAACAGTGCTGTGTTGGTGTAATTGGTCTCTCTTGGGGGTGGCTTTTTCACTCCCCTGAACAACATAAAAATATATCAACACAAGCAGTAGTGTAGACCTGCCCTCAGACTTGAATGCTGGAATAGTGTAGCACAGATTGTGATGGCTTCTCCATGGGTACATCTACCCTGCAGGGCTTAATTTGAAATAAGCTATGCAAATTGAGCAATTTATTTCAAAATAGGGAGCATCTACACAGCACTTATTTCAAAATAGAGCACACTTCCTCCAATTTCCCTTATTCCTCTTACAAGGAGGGTTACTGGAGTTGGAGTAAGAAGTCCTCCTCCAGCTTTACAGTATTTTGACACTATTTTGAAATTACTGCCTACTGTGTAGATGCAGACTAAGTTATTTTGGAATAGAGCTAGTTATTTCAAAATAGTGTTGCAGTGTAGACGTACCCCATCAGTAGCCATTTTAAAATTAAGACTGGATAGTTTCCTAGAAGGTATGCTCTAGTTCAGATAGGACTTAATGGGGACATTCTATGAGCTGTGTTTTGTGGGAGGTCAGATTAGATTATCATAGTAGTCCCTTGTGACTCCAGTCTCTGTTAATCTACGTATACTTCTAGACCATAGGGTCTCAAAATGTAGTCTGTGATCAGAGGCACCAAATTCCCCAGTTTCCATGGTGGGCTCAATCCCCACTGTGCCCCAATCCTCCTCCCCCACTCCACCTCTTCCTGCAAGTCCCCAGCTCTTCCTGCCCCATCCCTCCTCTGAGTGCACCCCTCCTGCTCCTCACCCCCCTCCCCAGCACCTCATACACACCACTGAACAGATTTTGGAGGATGGGAAGGGGAGGAACACCCACTTTTTTCTTGAGTGGGTGATCTGGGGGCTGGGATTGGTGCCTATGTCTGTAGTCCACAAAGAGCTGGCTGGTCACCATGTGCTACTCTCCTGGTTTCCAGCTATTAAATTACATTAAAATAGAATATTCCTAGCTCCTTCATGTCTACAAAATTTGGTTTTTATCCAGTTGACAAAGTCCTCTAATATTTTGTAATAAACTTTTCTGTGCCATATGCAACAACTTCCCCTTGAAAGGACCTATTTGCTTCTGACTTTGCCTCAAGCTATTAACTGACAGACTGGCTGCTAACTACAGTTAACAAATGATTTCCCAGAGATTACTGTTTAAGTAAAAAATGTTCCAAGATAAACAGGCTTCTTGACAACAAGGAATTTGAATTATGCGTCCAGAGATTTGGTACATGTTTCCAAAAAGTACGTAGTACAACTCTTGAGGTTTTTCTCATCAGCACGTTACAAGTTGGTAAATAAGCAACAGTGCTTTGTCCACAGATTAACATGGATTTGTATAGCGCATGTATCTTTTAAAACATTTTGGGATCTCACACGCCAGCAACTTTATCCAGCAACCACCACCCTATGGAATTTATGGAATCACTTATGTTGAAAAAGCTATTTGTTATTTCAAGTGAAACAAAATGCCAAATGCTGGGGGAAGGGTTAAGTGGTTTGGAGCCACCTGCAACTTGCTCAAAGATTATGAAGCTGCAATTTGTTAAATACAGTATTCAGAAATACATGCCATAGAAAGCAACAGTTGGGATTTTTAACCATTCTCTCTCTGAAATTTCTAAAATGCCCATCATCTTAATAGGCTGACAGACAGTTCTGGACAAGATATTTGTTTTTGAATTTGACATGACTTTCCTTTCAGTGCTTCCTAACCCCCTCATATACACGTGAAATTAAACCTAAAAGGAAAAAAGTGAAGCACAGAGAAGCTAAAGCAAATGTTACAGAGGGAGTTAACATGAAGCTGGAATAGGTTATAGATTCCCTGACTCTGCCCTTTGCTTTGTCCACGAGGCCATGCAGTTTCTCTTCCACAAATCTTGGTAACATACCTTACTACTTACATTACAGGCAGTCCCCGATTTACGCGGATCCGACTTACGAATGGGGCCCTCTCCCTGGTCTCCAGCAGACCAGGGAGAGGAAGCAAAGCCGCAGAGCACGCGGGCAGTGGACAGCCCAGACGCATCTGGGCTGCCCGCGTGTTCCGCCGCTTTGCTTCCTCTCCCTGGTCGGATCCGCGTAACTCGGGGACTGCCTGTACTTCATATTCTTTCCTAATTTTTTTCCATGCAATCAGAGTGCTCTAGTTGTTACTTGAATGTTGTGTTACAAAAGGATCTGTGAGACAGAAGGTGAATGGTACTGGTATGTATTAGTTCTGGAAGTGAGCATTCTAAATGTAGCTGTGGTCTCTATTTTAGATTCGGCTGCCTCCTGAAGTGAATCGGATTTTATATATCAGAAACTTGCCATACAAAATTACAGCTGAGGAAATGTATGATATTTTTGGAAAATATGGACCTATTCGACAAATTAGAGTGTAAGTCTTTTGATTTCAAAAATGTGGAGTGTTCCAAATATCTATGAGTTATGAGCAGCAGAAAATTGTTTTTGGAAGAAAGATGGTGCCAAACTCTGTTTTGATTCAGCTGTAAGCATATTAGAACCTCTTTAAATAGCATTCATAGTAGGCAAAAGTTGACAAGTAAGGAAAATGATACAAGACTGCCCAGTGGATGAACGTGTGTGAAAAAAACCATATTTCTTTCTACTAGACAAACCAGCAGTCAAGGAAGAACTCCTTCATAGTGAATCAAAACCAGTATAAAAATATTGACTGAATATCATTTGTCATTTTTCCTAGTGACTTATGAAGAAATTTGGTTCACCATTTAAGTGTACCAAAGAAAGAAGTCACTATGAACAAAAGTTCATGGCTAGTGTGCACTTAACAATATTTAAAATAGGGAAGTAAAAATGCATTTGAAAATGTAACTGCTAAAAATCATAGTGGCTACATAGTTACATGCGCTGCGGGCTCTGCATGTAAATAAGCTTTATACTGCAGAACTTGCAGCGAAGCCTCCCTGGGAGCAGGCATCACAAAAGGCTGCTGCTAGCTCTGCTCCCAGGGAGGCTTCATTGCAGGCTCTGCAACTGGCTTCCATTGGGAGCGGCGGGGTGCTGGTGCCTGCAGGGAGCACTTCCCTGCAGCACTCAGCTGCTCAGAGCCACCTGTTCCCCCTTGGCAGTTGTGCCTGGTAGGTGCCCCAATGCACTGCTCCCTCTTGCATCCCCCCTGCCAAGACTCCGCACTCCCACCCTGCTCTCGCACCCTCCCTCTGGAATGGGTTACCTAGAGAGGTGAGGGAATCTCCATCCTTAGAGGTTTTTAAGCACTGGCTTGACAAAGCCTTGGCTGGGATGATTTAGTTGGGGTTGGTCCTGCTGCGAGCAGGGGGTTGGACTAGATTACCTTCTGAGGTCTCTTCTGACCTGTGTTTTGGGATATAGCCAAACAGTGTAAATGTTGGCACTTTTTGCTGATGAAATACCTACATCCCTTGGGAACAGGGGGTTGAACTATGAGCCATTCATGCTGCCACTTTCCAGGGCAAAACTTTTGTCTTTTGGGGAGGGATGGTTTTAAGCACTTGCGAATGACAAACTTTTTCTTCCAATTGGCATTGCAGAAAAATACTAAAAAGCAAGCAGCATTATCACCTGTAAATGTCAACAAACTTGTTTGTCTTAGCAATTGATTAAACAAGAAGTAAGGTCTAAAGTTTTATATTTTGTTTGAGTTCATTCACCTAACCAAAAAACGTTTATAAGTTGCACTTTCATGATAAAGAGATTGCACTATAGTACTTGTATGAGGTGAATTAACAAATACTATTTATTTTATCATTTTACAGTGCAAATATTTGTAGTAAATGAGCACTGTACACCATGTATTCTATTTTGGAAATGAGATCAATATATTTGAAAATGTAGATAAACAGCCCAAAAAATTAATAACCTTTGATTTAACAGTGTGATTAATTTTTTAAGTTAAGTACATGATAAGCCTAGGCTTATCAGGTAGTTGACTACTTGACTAGTCACTTATATCCCTAGTCCAGCACACTTGGGGATCTGACTGGTGCCAAACCAGACAATTTGCTGAACCACAGGAGGTCAAGATTGTAACAAGTGTGGATGTCTCTATTTTTATTTCACCAAGGCAAATAAACAGAACAGTGCTGGCAATGCTGCTTAGCAATGTATGACTGTATGGATACACCCTATGCTTAGCCAAGGCTTATCAGCTCTCTATATAACAAAGTGTTAGTGTTGTTACACAATTTTACTGTTATTGGCGCAAGGAAATAAGTAGATAATGCTTCTAAGCATAAGCTTATGCTTTACCAACACTTCTGCTGCTTACTGGGCTCTTAGAAGACCTTCAAGGGGTAAATTTGAGCTAAATAACAGCACAGAACACTGAGAGCCAGGACTGGCAGCTGTAAACAAACTTTATGGGACTGTGGGAACCTTGGCCACACCTGATAAGTGGATATCTGGCTAACTAAAAACATGGCAGACCACAGATGGTGTTATACTGGTGAGGTTCAATCTGTAGTGTAGACATACTCTTTGGCTGTGTCTACACTGGCATGAATTTCCGGAACTGCTTAAAACGGAATACTATTCCGTTTTCAGTTTTTCTGGAAAAGGAGCGTCTACATTGGCAGGCTGCTTTTCCGGAAAAGCCCTTTTTCCGGAAAAGCGTCTGTGGCCAATGTAGACGCACTTTTCCGGAAAAGAGCCCCGATCGCCATTTTCACGATCGAGGCTTTTTTCCAGAAAAGACTATTGGGCTGTCTACACTGGCCCTTTTCCAGAACAGTGTTCCGGAATAAGGACTTATGCCCGAGCGGTAGCAGAATAGTTTTTCCGGAATAGCGGCTGATTTTGTACAGTAGAGCTTCATTGCTTTTCCGGAAATTCAAGGGCCAGTGTAGACAGCTCGCAACTTATTCCGGATAAGCGGCTGATTTTCCGGAATAAGTGGCCCATTGTAGACACAGCCTTTATGTCTGTGTGTGTTATGCTGAAATAGCAATCCATATATCGCCCCAAGGAACCAAGGACCTATAATACAATATGTCAGCTTTAAACATTTTATTTGACAACTTAAGTAATTTCCTGATGTAACACTTTTCAGGCTTTCCCAGAATAACACCACCATAATGCACAGCAAAGGCTTTTAGGATCATCCTTTGGAGAAGAATTGATCTTGAAACTTCATATTGTGCATTCTGTTTATGTTGCCACACTTGACATAGTTAGAGCCAGAAGTAATAATAAACAATTGGTGTAGAAAGCAAAACTGTATAACCAAGTCAATAAAAGGACGTGAGAAATCTTGATTTTTATTAAAATTTTATTTAACATAATCTGTGTGGTCATTGCTGATGGTTAATGGAGTTATTTTACATTCTTATTGTTTCAATATTAAAACTGATCTTGCATTCCAGTGGAAACACTCCCGAGACTAGAGGAACAGCATATGTGGTTTATGAAGACATCTTTGATGCCAAGAATGCTTGTGATCATCTGTCAGGATTCAACGTATGCAACAGATACCTTGTTGTCTTGTACTACAATGCAAACAGGGCAAGTACACTAGTTTTTCTAAAATAACTATTAAATGTATGTTATACTGTCAACTTCATTCCAGTTTAAACAGAACATTATTTTGATTTATTGTAGCTATCAATTTGAATATTCTAGGGAACAATGCTGAATTTGGAGGGAAGTAGTCTAGATGAGCTAATGGTTTAATCTTTAGTTTTTGATTTTTGTGTGTATGTTTGTGTTCAAAGAACATGCTTGTTGGACTAGACTGGGGAAGCAAAGTGGGCTGCAGAGAGCAGATTGCAGCATTGCTTTCCACAAGCTTAGTTTTGGGAGAGTCCTTTCCATAGGAGACAAGATGTTTAAAAGAAGTGATATCTGAGTTCTTAACCTTCTGTTTCTCTGCCCAATGACAAGCATGTAGCTTGGAGGCCATATGGCGGCACATTGTCCAGTATTGGGGAATTATGGTGTAAAATGTATTGACAAGAATTACTTGCAGTTACAGAAAAATATTATTTGAGGATAATTTAATTGGGGACTGTGGTAATTACATGGTAATTTGTATTAACTGTAGTAACATCTTATTAAAAACTCAATAAGAGATAAATTGTAAAGAATATTCTTCTCTAATGTACTTTGTTGATTTTGTTACAGGCATTCCAGAAGATGGACACAAAGAAGAAAGAGGAGCAGCTGAAACTTCTCAAGGAGAAATATGGAATAAACACAGACCCACCAAAATAAGATTATTTTTGCAAAAATTATTTTAACTCTTACAACGGTGTTTTGGACTGAACCTCATAAGGACTGCTAATCAAGCTTAATTATTTCATTTGACCCTTTTACTTCTATGCCTCATGCATTGACTACTCAGTTTGAAGCTTTGATATTTTAAGTTTGGAATTTACTAAATAAATGTAGTTCACTTTTGGATTTTGTCTAAATTACTTAACATTTTTCTAATTCTATTAAATGGACACACTTTTTTCTAGATATCAAGGAGACCATGTTATTCTTGCATAACTGGTCTGTTTCAAATAACGTGACCAAGTATTTTATTCAGTCCTGGCAAAATTCATCACCCAAGATTGCTTGCACTAGACTCTGTGCACCATTTAGATCCCATGTTTTAGGTTTAGTGACCTTGTTTGGATTCTCTGCACAAGAGTGAATTTCATTTCATATATGTGTAAATTAAATAAAACACATTGACCACAATATTTGTATAGAATATGGTCTAGTATGTTTTTAACACTTACCACGAATTTGTGGTATTGTATCTAAGTTACCATTTTTCTCCCTATGGGAATGTTTGACTCAATCTGTCCTTTTTGTTATAGGGAACTTGTGTTTGTTATAAGACTGCTTCTTATATTAAACAAAAATGTCTGTCCTGTGTAGCTCTTACCTGAAATTGGTGATAATAAATTGAGGTCTGGATTAAAAGTCATAAACACGAGTTGCCTCTAAATATATCCTTGGTTTTCTAAGAACTGATTTTGTTGCCAGTGACTGATGTGCTATATTGAAATTGATTTTGCTGTGACAGTGAATGACTGCAAGATTACTCAGGGCAAAGTAAAGAGCTGAGGGTCAAATAACTTTAAACTTTTTGGCATATAGATGCAAACACACTTAGACATGTTATGCCAAATGTAAATGTTAATGAGATATATCCATTTGGTTAGTGAATCACCATAACTGAGTATTTAAACTAGTTACTAGCTCATGCTCAAAATTCGTTTCCTTGCTTTCAGCTTGATTGATAATGGAAAAATAACACTTGTGTACCCAAAATGCCTATATACGAGTTTTGCAAACCTTGTTATATTCCACGTTAATTTACTACTGTAATACCTTTTTTCTTTGAAATGTTGGGGGGATTAAAAGAGCACAATAAACTTAATCAGACTAATGATTATAACTTCGGTAACATCTTGTATAGCACTGATCAAGATGCTATCTGTACGCCTACCTCTTATACTACTTTAAATGGTGACTGCTGTGTGTAATTGTGTATGTTACAAACACACACACTTCAGTGCTCAGGGAAGAGACTAGATTGACAGAAGTAGTCTCCAGAGTTGATCTACTGAGTCATAGAACAGCCTTCCATAGAGTAGTTGTTTGCTAGGATTGTTCCATCTTTGTTGCCTCAGCTTTGATTACCACAGATGATAATTATGATACTTTGATGTGATCGCTTAACTGTCAGATGAATTTTATCTAGACCAGTGAAGCAGCCTTCACATAGCAACTTTTTGTCATGCTTTCCCAGAATTTGAACCACCAATGTAGAGCTGAAAGCATCCTATTTCTAATTCATTGATCTATAGGAGAATCTGGCACTGTTTCTTTGCCCTCTTCATCTGAGGTCTCAGGGTACGTCTAGACTACATGCCTCTGTCGCCAGAGGCATGTAGATTAGGCTACCAGACATAGTAAAATGAAGCGTGAGCCGACAAACAGCTGATCAGCTGTTTGTCGGCTCAGCGCGATAGTCTGGACGCACGGGTGGCGACGTCAAAGGTATTTGTCGACCACCCAGGTATACCTCATCCCAGGAGGCATACCTGGGTGGTCGACATACCTTTGATGTCGCCACCCGCGCGTCCAGACTATCGCGCTGAGCCGACAAACATGTAGTCTAGACGTACCCTCAGATTAGACCTCTTTTGAGTTTCTCTAGCTAGACCAGGGGAGGAACATGTTAAATAGATGTATTGGCAGAAAGATGTCTCTTCCTTATAGTCTGAAACCTGCTCTCCCTCCCCCAAATCTAGCTGCCTGACTTTGAACGGCGAGAGAACATAAGAATGGCTGTACTGGATCAGACCAAAGGTCCATCTAACCCAGTAGCCTGTCTGCCGATAGTGGCCAACGCCAGGTGCCCCAGAGAGGGTGGACCAAGACAATGATCAAGCGATTTGTCTCCTGCCATCCCTCTCCAGCCTCTGACAAACAGAGGCCAGGGACACCATTTCTATCCCTTGGCTAATAGCCTTTTATGGGCCTAACCTCCATGAAATTATCTAGCTTCTCTTTAAACTCTGTTATAGTCCTAGCCTTCACAGCCTCCTCTGGCAAGGAGTTCCACAGGTTGACTACACGCTGTGTGAAGAACTTTATTTTATTAGTTTTAAACCTGCTACCCATTAACTTCATTTGTTGTCCTCTAGTTCTTCTATTATGGGAACTAATAACTTCTTTATTCGCCCTCTCCACACCACTCATGATTTTATATACCTCTATCATATCCCCCCCTCAGTCTCCTCTTTTCTAAACTGAAAAGTCCCAGTTGTTTTAACCTTTCTTCATATGGGACCCATTCCAAACCCCTAATCATTTTCTTTTTCAACCCCCTTTTCTGAACTCTTTCCAAGGCCAAAATATCTTTTTTTAGGTGAGGAGACCACATCTGTACACAGTATCTGGCCCAGCGTGATCTTGTGAGTAAGATCCAGAGTGTAAATTGACCTGGGACCTGTGGCTGGTTTCTTGGGACCGGAAGAACCCGTTGGGGGTAGGTGAGATTGGGTTCTATAACCCCTCACCTGTGTGTTAGGCCCGGGGCTGATTGCGGCACAGAGGGAGCTGGAGAGTCAGAGTGGTTTTGCTCGTGAGGCTTGAGGCTGGCCAGATGGGCAGCTGGAGCGCTCAGTGTGACTGGTTTGTGACCTATTTGGGAAGGTCTCCAGTCAGGAGCTGTACGGAGCCCCAAGTTTGAGCAATTCGCTCTGAGCAGACGCCCTCAGCAGTGCCCAGACCCGGCCCAGTCAGTCACAGTGCTCAGTTCCAAGAGGTGAGTCATTACCTCATTTCCCCGAGAAACTATCTGCCCAAGATCACACAAGTTTGGGGCCAAAAAATAAAACCCCAGAAACCTATTCTTAGTCTTCTGCCCAATCCACTGGACTGTGATGCCTCACATTTTCCCTCACCTCATGACTGCTCTGTAAGAATGCTGTATGCAGACAATAATTCCATGCTGAGATGCAGAACTTCTTCATTCCCAGGAGTCAGATCCCTTTTCATGGACTCAACAAGCTATCACATACAAACAGGTCCCTCTGTCACTTAACCGTTCAAAATCCTTGCAGGACTGATGCCCCTGCCTGTCTACATTGGCCGCGAGTATTTGCGCAAGAACACTGACTTTGTAAGGTACAAAATCAGTGGTTCTTGCGCAAATACTCTGACACCAAGGCCATGCACAACTTAATGTGTTCTATGTTAAATAATTCTGCTCTAAATCTACTCAAGGGCCAAGTGCCTTTATGAAGCCTGAAAGGTTAAAATAAATTGGGTCTTAGGCCAACTCCTTTTGTGATTTAGAAGACATTTCAGAAGTGGGTTCCTCTTCTTTTCCAACTTCAATACCTTAGGGGTGCATCTAGACTGGCCACTTGAATTTACGCAAGAGCACTGACTTTGTAATGTACAAAATCAGTGCTTCTTGCACAAATACTTTCACACTCCCGCTCGGGGAAAAAGCCCTCTTGTGGAAGAATACTTGCTCAAGAGGGCCAGTGTAGACAGGGAAGAATTGTTTTGTGCAAAAAAGCCCCGATGGCTAAAATGGCGATTGGGGCTTTCTTGCACAAAATCGCGTCTGGACTGGCCATGGATGCTTTTGCGCAAAAGCATCCGTGCCAATCTAGACACGCTTTTGCGGAAATACTTTTAACGAAAAACCTTTTCTGTTAAAAGTATTTCCGCAAAATCATGCCAGTCTAGATGCAGCCTAGGAAACAATGAGTAGTCCTGTGGAACCAATACATTAGGGTTATCTTCTTTTCCGTGGAAATCCTATGCTATACTGTGTGAAATTTCAGATGGAGTAATTTAGGGTGAAAATGAGTTGGTAGGAGGGACAAACTTAGCACCTTTAGCTGTCCTTGAACTTCAACAAAATTGTCTAGAACCTAATTGCAACTTGCGTCTCCTCAGCAATGTTCCCTGTAAGCTGTGCGCTTTTGCGGCCACTCAGGAGAGATTCAGATGACTAGCAGAGTGCCCACAGGTAGGTTTGTGTTTCTCATGGTGGTGCACATTTGCATATGACCCAGTGCACATAAAAATGTATTCTGTACATGGATGCAAAAGATTAGAGGGAACTTTGGTCTTCAGCCCTTTTGGCTGTAAGTAAGGCTACAAGTCTGCCATGGAGGTTAGTTTCTGTGACTTGCAGGGACTTCTATGACCCATGAGGGAAGGCTGAAAAAATTGGGTTCGTTTAGTTTAGAAAAGAGAAGATTGAGAGGGGACATGATAGCAGTTTTCAGGTATCTAAAAGGGTGTCATAAGGAGGAGGGAGAAAACTTGTTCATCTTGGCCTCTGAGGATAGAACAAGAAGCAATGGGCTTAAACTGCAGCAAGGGAGGTTTAAGGTTGGACATTAGGAAAAAGTTCCTAACTGTCAGGGTAGTCAAACACTGGAATAAATTGCCCAGAGAGGTTGTGGAATCTCCATCTGTGGAGATATTTAAGAGTAGGTTAGATAAATGTCTATCAGGGATGGTCTAGACAGTACTGGGTCCTGCCATGAGGGCAGGGGACTGGACTCAATGACCTCTCGAGGTCCCTTCCAGTCCTAGTATTTTATGATTCTGCAGCTGTGATATGGCTGGACCCAGCCTTCCTCAGGGGCCAGCTACACTGACTACTGCTCGGGCAGCGGTAAGCAGCTTGGCTCAGGATGCTGGAGCAGCCACGATGCTCCTGTCTGCACCCCTTCCTTTGCAATAGCCCTGCACCTTCCCTCCTTTGAGCAGCAGTGGGGCCTTAGGTTGTTCCCCCACTACTTCTGAGTAGCAGCAACATCCTTCCCTAGAATACCTAAGATTTAGTCAGAAGTATTTATAGTACTAGACAGGCAGGTCCCAGGCTATGAATTTTTGTTTAATGCTTGTTCTGTCCATGACGTTTAGTAAAAATACCCGCAACTAAAATATAGCATGAGCTACCAGGTGCTGTCTTCTGCCCTTACTAATGTGAAGTACTGGCATTTGCAGCCACTTCATCTTTCAGGTTTCCTTATTTTGAATAGTTTGCAAATATCACATTTCCTCGGCCAATAAGAGGCAATTCTTTTACTTGCATTGCAGAGTCTGAGTTCGATGAAAGCTTGGTGCTAAGAAAAAAAATAAAGAAATTCTGTAGGGTAATAAAATTAATACAAATTCTTTCAGTGAGCTCTAAGACCAGCAGCTTTTTTGATTTCTCTAAAAGCTTTACTGCTGCCTTTCATTAAATATTCCATTTCATACTACTATTTCTTTTAGTGCCTGCTCAGGGTTTTCAGTGTCTCTGTACATGTAAAAATGAAATCATTTGTACCTGCAAGATAGAGGGAATGGAAATCAAATGCCGGGGGGATTTTTTTTATGAGGTCTGCTAAGATTTTGTTTGAAATGTAATATCAAAGGACAGGAAAATGAGTTTGGTTATAGGAACAGCAGAGGGAATAACTCATAAGGCAGTTATCAGCTTTGCAGTCTACAATGGTGTTCTCTGCATTTCCTTTCTGCTTAATTTTCAGAAAGTAGGACATGAAATTATGCCTGCAAGGTTGTTTTTTCCATTTCTAAAGTGGTTAGAAATAAGTAATACAAGAGCATGTTTGATTACCCAGGCAATCATGGTATGTCTTTCCAATCCATTTTATAGTAGTAGTAATTATGGACTGTGTTGATAAATAACACAATTAAGTAAATTAACACATTTTTCAGTTGAATAAAGAGCCACCAGGCAAAGATTAGAATGCTGGATTATGTGTTGTTAAAGACTTAGTTCCCCTAAGTATCCCAAAGCACAGTTAGTCTTAGCTTCAGATATTTTTTAATCAAATTGTCATGAAAAAAAAATCTGTGCTTCCACTGAAAAGAGAAAGGGTGGTTCTTAGGAAAGCTTCATCAATCAACAACTGTAATGAGAGACCTAAGCAAATTCTTTGAAGACTCAGTAGTGGAAGGTGCTGAACAACCTCCACTCTTAGTGCTTGCAGTAGAAATTGCAGGTTTGAGGAGCTGTTCAACGAAGCAGAGAGAAAATACTCAGCTCATGAAGCCTGACAGCAAAACCTACAAGGTGCTAGGTCATGGATCCACAAAAAGAATTTAGGCATTGCAACACCTGGAAGTTCACTAGCACACTAAGATCCACAAAGCCTGAGTTAGGTGTCCACTTCCCTCTGTTCTGCTGGAGAAGTGCTGGACACCTAAGCAGGTTTCACAAGAAGCAGATTGTTAGGAAGGCAGCTAAACTAGCCCATGGGAGATGTTGATAAGAGGAGTGGATGAGAGGCGCTGAAATCTGGGCTACAAGGAGGCACTTATATCTGCTGCTGATGGATATTTGGGAACCCTTTCCAGCAGTAAAGTGGCTGAAGGGTGAACAAGCAAAAGGATTGTTTGGACTCCAACTTGCAGGAGGCACTCTACTGCTGTGACACTAAGTTGAGGGGGCTTGGCCATGTGTATATGGGGTGAGACGTGGCACTGGAAATGTTTTCCACCCTTGTGGGCCTAAACCACTTTCAAAAGAAATGCTAGAGGAGGAGGAGGAGCCTTTCTTATAGGCTACGTCTACATTGGCAAGATTTTGTGCAAATACTTTTAACGCAAGAGTTTTTGCATTAAAGTATTTGCACAAGAGAGCATCTACACTGGCATGTGCTTTTGCGCCAGAGATGTGCTTTTGTGCAAAAGCATCCGTGCCAGTGTAGATGCTCTCTTGCGCAAGAAAGCTCTGATGGCCATTTTAGCCATCGGGCTTTCTTGCGCAAGAAATTCATGTTGTCTGCATGCCAGTGTAGATGCTCTCTTGTGCAAGAAAGCTCTGATGGCCATTTTAGCCATCGGGCTTTCTTGGGCAAGAAATTCACGTGGCCTGTCTACACTGGCTTCTTGCGCAAGAACACTTGCGCAAGAGGGCTTATTCCTGAGTGGGAGCGTCATAGTTCTTGCGCAAGAAGCACTGATTTCTTACATTAGAACATCAGTGTTCTTGTGCAAGAACTTGCGGCTAGTGTAGACAGGCAACAAGTTTTTACGCAAAAGCAGGTGCTTTTGCACAAAATCTTGCCCATGTAGACGTAGCCATAATGTTTAGCCCAGCAGCCGGGAGACCCAGATTCAATTCCTCCATCCAACCTGATGGAAGGGATTTGAACAGGAATCTTCCACCTCTTAGGATAGATGCCTTTGCCCATGGCCATAGTGCCCTATATTCTGGTGCGGTGGGGGGAACCTCCCTCACTTTCTCCTGTCAAAACTGTTCCAAAATAATGGACTAGTCACAGAAGTGCAAGGGCTTGGTCCTGGTGCAAACTTACACACTGACAACTATTATACCCCTTATGCAACTGTCCTTAGAAGTATGGCACCAGGTTTAATAACCATAACAAACAAAAACAGCATGGGAGATGGCTAAGATCTGGCACTCCCATGTGCGTGTTTTACCCACCATGCCAAGAGTCATTCTTACCCCACCACCCCATCCACTCTGGCCCAATGATGAGGTAAGTATGCACAGTGGGCCAGTTTCTGCAGGAGGAGAGACTGAGGGACTCTGACATCAGAATACTCCATAGTTCAGGGGTTTAAGCGCTTTCATGGCAGATCCCCAGTTCAAAGCCTGGGGACAGGGTTTGAACCGGGGTCTCCAAAGCGCTGAGTGCACTAATAACTGGTCTGAAAGATACCGCCATATTTCAAGGGATTAGCAAAGGTAAAGTAATTCATTAGCACTCCTCCAGCCAGAGAGGGGATTGTTAAAGGGTTAGATTCTTTTAATAAGCCACTCCATTTAGTCAATGATAGTTAGAGATACTAATATTTTCCTCACCCGGCTCTCCCCTGCCTCCTTTCCTCCCTATGGCTAGAGAAGTGTTAATGGTCCCTTGAAATGTGTGTTTGCTTAGCTAATCTGTTCCACCCTGGGAGCTCAGAGGTGCCAGGGCTATGAAGTGCGAGCCTAGAGGGGTTAAACTATTATACCATTAGCCAGACTTCCTTGGAAGACCCTGCAGATTTCAAAAGCACTCAGCATTGGTCTAAGCCAGCTACTACTGACACTCCCACAGACAGCACCGAAACTAGATATTTTTGTGCCCCCTCTCCTTAGGTTAGCATGCATCACTCTCTTTACTTTTGCAGCTTATTATTTGTACTTACTGTGCCTTTATGCCCCTGCTTATGATGCACCCCGGCGGGGAAAGCAGGGTGCTTGCCTTGCCCTTGTGGTGGCCCTGCCCACTGATTTCAATGGAAGAAAAATTAGGATGACACTGAAGGCCCACTCCTGAGAGGCTCTGGAGCTGCGTGTTTTGAAAATCCAGTCAATGGTCAGCACTGCAGTCTCTTCTCTGGCCAAATCTAGGCAGGACTGAGGGGCACTAAGTAGCACAGACTCTGTTTGATTAGTCTGGGTGCTGGAGAGCCAGAACAGGCAGAAAGACTGTCCAGCGGCCTCATAGAACCCTTTCTACTCAATATAATCTGGACTTGTTTCTGCTTGAGCCCATAGCGACACCAATTTGTAATTTAACAGAATTGGAACATGGCTTATGCATATTTTATACAAGAAATTATTAACAAAATACAGATCAGAGATTCCTAGAAGAACTTTTAGATTAGAAAAAAATATCCATCTACATTCAAAGGGAAGGACAAGAAACAGCACAGAAACTGTAAAGTATCAAGATTTTATTGTTTCCATACATATTTTTTTTCAATTTTCAAATGCAACATTGGTTTAAAACAGCAGCGAGCAAGCACATACAAGTTGAGAAAAAAGTGGCAGCGCAGGTAACTCTGTTTGGCTAATGCCCCTTCATGTACAAAATGTACATTTGAATTCTGAGCACCTTTCGTTTGTCTTGGTTTAAGTGACAGTAAGGCAGTGGTTTTTCCATAAGGAATATATATATATATATATGTATATATATAATTATCGTCATGAATTTTAATCACATGCAAATTAAATGAAATGTACAACTAAAAAATGTTACAACTGTGGAAGGTTTTCTCAGAGCAAAGAAGCTTCTAATAAAAGACAAATCTGGACACAGCAACTTTAAAAAAAGAGGGAAAGGAATAAACAACCGAAGGGCATGTACTACTGGCATGACCGCTCAAGCAGGGAAGATTGCGATTCCAGTGAGGCCTCCTTCTACAGTAGAGAAGGGGGAGAGGGGAAATGGATGATTATCAGCAGTTGTCTTCACCTGACTCCCATGAAAAGCTTTACTCTAGCCTGAGCAGCTCCACGTCGAAGATGAGAGTAGCATTGGGAGGGATGACTCCAGGATGGCCCGTGGCTCCGTATGCCATGTCAGGCGTACAGGTCAGCTTTGCTCTTTGTCCTAAGCTCATCTAGTGTTTGGGTGTTGGAGGGAGAAGGGAAAGAATGTGTTAGGAGAAATACCATAGGTAAGAAGTCACTAAGAAGGGGAAGATTTACAAAGTCGGTGGGAGCTTGGCCCATCAACTTGGTTACTTTTGTAAATCTCACTAAATGCCTGTCTGCATGTTTACACGCCCAATTCCTGTGTAAATCTGGTCCCCACCTGTTAGCTCCTGACTCCCCAGTCCTGATCCTTTACCACTGGGTAACGGCCTCTCTCTGACAATATGTAATAATCCTCTAGTGCCAGTTTGGTAACTGCAGAATACTCTGGCATTGGGGGCTCGTCAACTTTGCTTCATTATTAAGGGCCCCCGCAAAGTACAAGGGCCTCTGTGAGCTGCAGCACTCTCACAAAACCCACCAACTTCAACGGGACCTACAGACACCAGACAAGTCACAAGAGGCTCTCAGCACCTAACAGGGTCAAGGCTCCGGATTCAGAAAGGCCCTACTCTGTAAGACCCATCAATGGCTGGGGCGCATGTGGAGAAGTGCTTTGCTGAAGCCACCATGTGATCTCCAGAGTGTGTGCATCTCCCTTTTTCGTTGACTTCATTGTCTCCAGTGTCAGCGCGTCAACCTCTCTCCGCCTGCTTCCTCATCCAGCCAATAGGGATAATGCGCTCAAGCTCCCTCACAAATAGGTTCATATTCCCAAGCAATGTTGCCCACTTTCTAATCACACAAAACTGAACACTCCTGACCCACCCCCAAGGCTCCACCCCACCCTGCCTGTCTCTGAGGCCCTGCCCCCACTCTCTCCATCCTCCGTCCCTCTCTTACATGCTGTGCCCCACCCTCACTCACTTTCACCAGGCTGGGGAAGGAGGCTGTGTTGAGGGGGGGAGAGGACCTAGCTGGGGTGCCAGTTCTGGGTCAGGCCAAAAACAATGGGTTCAGGGTGTGAGAGAGGGCCCTCAGATGGGGCAGGGGGTCAGGGAAGGGGTGGGGAGGCTCCATCTTGGGGTGTGGGTTCTGGAGGGGGGCCGGGGTTAAAGGTTTTGGGATGCAAGAGGGGACTCGGGTCTGGGACAGAGGGTTGGAGCGGGGGGTGCAGGCTGGGGATGGACTTTGAGTGCAAGAGGGGTCTCCAGGCTGGGGCTGGAGGTTGGTGTGTGGGCAGGGATACAGGGTCCCAGCAACACTTTTCGCAGCTTCCTGGAAACAGCTGTCAGCTCCCTGAAGTCCCAAAGTACACTTGAGGCCAGGGAGGCTCCGCGAGTGGCTATTGTGCCTGCAGGCACCACCCCCACAGCTCCCATTGGTGTCAGTTCTCAGCCAGTGGGAGATGTGGAGCCAGCACTTGGGATAGGAGCAGCATGCAGAGCATCCCTGCACCTAGGGGCTTCAGGGGCCTAGCAGCCACTTATGGGAGCCACAATAAGTGCCACCAGAACCCCACACTCCAAACCCCTGCCCCAGATAGAGAATCTGCCTTCGCCTTGGAATCGCCACTGTGCCACTGACTGGACTTTTACCAGAGCCACCAGGGTCCATCTTCAACCGGGCATTCCAGTTGAAAACCAGACACCTGGGAACCCTGTTCCGAAGGCACTTAGAGACCCTGAGTTGGAAGGTACTATCAACATGTTCAGTAATTATTACTAATTCCTCTTGTAACAATCCACTAGGTGGAGTTAAAGGGTAATTTGCTGCTGGGCAGCTTATTGAAAAGGAATTAGGCTACATAATTAATTTAGGGAAGGTAGTCAGAGTGATTGGGGAGGTTATAAAATTGATTTATGTGGAGTCACTGCTACAGCTTTAGCTGAGTCGGCTTCTACCAAGGATAAATCTGTTCCCTTTTTTTACCTTGACTTTCGGAGTCATGCTATTTTGGGGACCCCATCACGGGTTTTCATTCCCCCAGTGGTGAGTGAGAGGGGCATCGGGTGGGTGGCTCGATCCGTGCCAGGTGCAGGGTCTGCTGGCTGGGTGCTGGCAGGCTTGCACCTGGCACGGGCACCGTAGCCAGCCCGTGCCCCTTTAAGGAGTCCGGGGCCGGGAGGGGGGCAGAAGAGTTTCCCTGGTGTTGGCCAGAGTGGCCACCAGGGAAAGCTGGGGAGGGCTAGCCTCCCACTAGTTCGAATTAAGGGGCTACACACCCCTTAATTCGAACTAGCTAATTCGAACTAGGCTTAATCCTCGTAAAATGAGGTTTTCCTAGTTCGAACTAAGCGCTCCATTAAATTCGAACTAACGGAGCGCTAGTGTAACGCCTATGAAATACGAACTAACTTTGTAGTGTAGACATACCCATATATATACATATAAATGCATACAACTCCTTGCATGCTGCTCCATGATGCACTATCATGCTGGATCATTGCTGGGGCTGTGTGGGTGGCACTGTCTATAAGCTAACCCTCTGCTCACCTTGTAGAGGGGACACTCTGGGGGGTTTGGATGCTGAGTAATTTATAGCCAGGTAAGGATTCCACCCTCCACAGCCAACATTGAGAAGCATGCGAAAGCCTACCCATCATGATCTACCCCTGAGTTCTGACCACCATAATTAGCATAGTCAATGAAGGGCTAAGAAATATTATATTAGTATGCATCTCACCATCAGAAAAACCATCCAGGGCTACAGACTGTGATTTTGACTTGCCTACCCTGATGTTAACTCATCCTTATTGTACTGATCATGCCTGCGCACACTCCAGCTAATCTGCAATTCAGCCAGAATCATCCCGTACCTGTGCAGCTCCTTCCTCAAACCCTTTAATGACTTCTTGTCGGCCGATCTTGAACCTAAAAGGCTTGTTTCGGTCTCTGG